GGGAGGCGCGAGTATAGGGCGTAGGCTGTCGAGCTGAGGCGGGCATTATGAGAATTACCATGGAAATTGCCCCCATGCCCCTAAACCCCAAACCCTAAACCCAAACCCTAAACCCTAAACCCTGAACCCTAAATCCTAAACCCTAAATCCTAAACCCTAAACCCTAAACCCTCACCGAGCACTGGAAAGACGGGTGATCCCCTGCATTTCTTCGGAGTCATGCTCCGAGCATGGCGAGGGATTTTGGGGGGGCTCCGAGGACCTCGAGGGGAGTCCCGAATCTTGGAGTGTAAGATGTGCCGGGTTTAGGGTTTAGGGTTGAGGTTTAGGGTTTAGGGCTTGGGGTTTGGGGTTTGGGGTCTAGGGTTTAGGGCAGACCATCTAAGCCACAACGGCACCCCGAACCAAAATATCCGAAGCCCCCCCATCGACTGTGGCCCCGGGCAGCCAGCAGCAGAAACATGAAGAGGTGCAGCGGCGACATACGGCTGTTCAAGGTCAGCCTTGATTTCAGCCGGAAGGACGGGTGGTTAAGGCTTTGGGTCTAGGGTGTGTGAACACCGTGAAGCAAACGCTAAACCCCGCCAATGAAACCCGAAACCCCTGAACCCCCCCCCTAATGTTGACTTCACATTAATGATTCCCGCCGCAATTGTAAAATCCAGCTGCCGGAACACAATATTGTAACCCGCCACAATTGTAAATCCGACCCGGGAAATCCGTTTTTTACGGGCGTGGTGCTACTACCTAATACTAAAACTAATAGTACGTCCTACCAGGATTTAGGCGAACATTATTGAGGAGGCCCTGGCCGGAGAGATTGATCAATCAAGGGGGGGGGGGGGGTTTATTAATGCGAAGTCAACATTAAACCCTAAATCCAATTTCCTCAACCCAAAAAACTCTCAACAATCAGATTCCGGGGGCCGAGGCCTAACACCCTGAAGCTTCCGAGAAGCTGAAGCGCTCCAGGCCCTCTACTTGAAGGTTTAGGGTTTAGGGTTTAGGGTTTAGGGTTCAGGGTTTAGGGTTTAGGGTTTAGGGTTCAGGGTTTGCTTAGAAGTGGGGGTAGAAGTGCCCTAAGTAAGGTGATGACCTTAGCTACCCTACTTATAACCCCACTTAGGGGTAAGTTCAAGTTTTAAGGTTGACTGGGATTTGCAGGGTTTAGGCTTCGCAGCCCTCAGGGTCCCGGACCGCAGAGCTGAAACCCCATCCCGAGCATAATCAGGGACCCCGAATATGGGGTTTCGAAATACGGGAGCCTTAAAATCGACCCCCACAAATAGTAGGATTCCCTGAGAAGAAGAACCACAGAAGGTACCCCTAATTTTCGGAAACCCAATATAGACCCCCAAATAGTAGGACTCCCTCATAATAAGGACCCCAATCAGGTACCCTTATGTCGTAAACCCTCAGACGATGGAACGATGGACCCAAAGGTGAGGGCAGCTGACCAGAACTAGATGCAGGGGTTAGACTAAAAGGTTTAGGGTTTAGGGTTTAGGGTTCATGGGTACTTGTACGCAAAATCAAGCGGTACATATGGGGGGGGGTTCCGACATGAGGAGTACCTTATTGGGGTCCTCATTATAAGGGAGTCCCACTACTTGGGGGACTATATTAGGGGCCCTTATGTTCGTAAACAGCCATATCTGTAGCCAACAACTGGTTGCAACCTTGTGGTGAGCGTACGCATAGACTTGCTTCTCTACGAGGTACCTCATGAACCCTGAACCCTGAACCCTGAACCCTGAACCCTGAACCCTAAACCCTAAACCCTAAACCCTAAACCCTAAACCCTAAACCCTAAACCCTAAACCCTAAACCCTAAACCCTAAACCCTAAACCCTAAACCTCTTGCAGCTCGGGGAGTCCATGCTGGGATTCACCTGAGCCCAGGCGCGTGTCGCTGGTATCCAGATCGCTGATGGTGTGCTGATTCGAGAGGCCCTCCATGATGCTTTGCAGGTTGGCACCTTGGTATGCTCTTGCTTAGGAACTTTAGGGTTTAGGGTTTAGGGTTTAGGGTTTAGGGCTTAGGGTTTAGGGCTTAGGGCTTAGGGCTTAGGGTTTAGGGTTTAGGGTTTAGGGTTTCGGTTTTGGGGTTTGGGGTTCAGGGTTTAGGCCTAGGGTTTAGGGTTTAGGGTTTAGGGTCCAGGGGCTCTACAAGCGAGACTTTTACGGCCCACAGGGATCATAACAGGAGTCCCGATTCGCCTGAACCCTCAACCGAAGGCTAAAACAGCCAAATACCCCAAACCCTGAACCCTGAACATACCGAACCCTAAACCCTAAACCCTAAACCCTAAACTCTAAACCCTGAACCCTGAACCCTGAACACGATCAGCCCGAGTTTAAGACCACAAGCCTAAACGCTGAACCGAAATCCTGAATAGCCTCGGGATTCGGGCGGCACCCAAAGTGACTCCAGGGCAAAGTGTGGAGGACTCACGAGGGTCTTTCAGAGCTGAGGGCTTAGAGTAACCGCCTTCAAACCTTTAAACCTGGAGTCTTAAACGGCACGAGCTGTGCAGGACTTGGAGAAGATCTTGCAAGGGCTCGAGATGTGTCAAGGTCTGTGTTTAGGGTTTAGGGTATTAACTACCAAACGAGTTTAGTTTGGGTTTAGAAGGACACTTTGACCGGAGATCGGAAGTACTTACTGCGCAGTCCCCAAAAAAAGCCCTGAATCCTAAACCCCAAACCGCAGTACCTACTATATGAGGGTTTCCGAAAGTCCCGATGACAGGTGCCCCCATTTTTTGGGGGCTGTTACCCTAAACCCTAAACCCTAAACCCTAAACCCTAAACCCTAAACCCTAAACCCTAAACCCTAAACCCTAAACCCTAAACCCTAAACCCTAAACCCTAAACCCTGAACCCTGAACCGAGCTGCTCTGGGAGCGGATGAACTCGCAAACCTCGGCCGCTTTACCCCTGCGGTTGGGGCTTCAAGGGCGTAGGGGGTTTAGGGTTTAGGGTTTGGGGTTTAGGGTTTTAGGGTTTAGGGTTTAGGGTTTGGGGTTTAGGGTTTGGGGTTTAGGGTTTAGGGTTTGGGTTTACGGTTTTAGGGTAGGTCATACTTCGATTGGGAAGCAAGGAATGGGGATAAGTGTGCCTTGCACCTAAACCATGAATTCTGGGGTTCCGGCATCTTCCAGGTGTGCGGGGGTTTTCATTAGGACTGGAGGTATAGGCCGTTGAGTTGGGTCAAGAGTTTCAGGTTTTGGGGGTGTGGGTGCAGGGTTTGTGGTCATACGGGGTTGAGGACTTACAGGGTGGGGCCCCCTTACTATACTAACTGTAGTTAAGGGACTTATAACCTAACTTAGGGTCCTTATAACCCAATTTAGGGCCCTTATAACTCTACTTATAACTAGGGGGCCCCACCCTGTAGGGGTTTAGGGCTCAGAAGCTTGAAGACTTCATGGCTTGAGAAGGGCATGCTTTGATGTTCATGGGTACCTACAAGTGCTACAAGTGTGGCTATCAGAGGGGTAACTATGGTTGTATAAACCCTCAACCCTAAAACCCTAAAACCCTAAAACCCTAAAACCCTAAAACCCTAAAACCCTAAAACCCTAAAACCCTAAAACCCTAAACCCCTAAGACCCTAAACCCTAAACCCTACTTGTAAGTCGCCATGAACTTTCAAGTAGAGCCCATCGATGCCAAGATCTCGACACCTCGGCCATCGCCCGACTGAGGCCCGGGCGCAGTCCCAGGGGCTGGACATCTCCTCAGGTTTAGGGTCTATAGGGTTTAGGGTTTGGGGTTTAGGGAGAAGGGTTTAGGGTTTGGGGTTTAGGGTTTAGGGTTTGGGGTTTGGGCTTTAGAGTTTAGGATTTAGCTCTTTAGTGGCTAGCCCGGTAAACATGTTAGAGTTTTGGGGTTGGCTATTCTAGGTTCCCTTATAAGGGAACCTTGAACTCAAAAAAAAGGGTAAAGGGTACCACATGGGGGGGGGGGTGACCATATATATATATATATAGTGGGTACTAGAATCCCTTTGAAAGATTGTTCGTACAAGGGGGAACATCCCAACCCTAAACCCCAGGCCCCAAGCCCCAAACCCGAAACCCTAAACCCTAAACCCTAAACCCTAAACCCTAAACCCTACACAAGGTTCCTGTGTTGTTGCGGAAGGTAGCGCCTCGAGCTCCCTCAGCTCGCGGCAGGCCCGGGTATGGGGTTTAGGGTTTAGGGTTTAGGGTTTAGGGTTTAGGGTTTAGGGTTGAGGGTTGAGGGTTCAGGGTTTAAAGTTTAGGGTTCAGCATCTCATCTTCGAGCTCTCACAAGTCAACCAGCTTTCCAAGCGACGGGAAAATACCCACCCGCCCACAGAAGCCCAGAAAATACAAGGTTCACTCTATCCGTAAGCCTTAGGCTCCCTTAGACCCTAAACCCTAAGCCATTAAAGCATGGGCTACCAAGAGTGTGATCAGCTCGATGGAGGGAGGATGTAGGGCTCAGGATTCAAAGGTTGCTGCCCTAAACCTAAGCGATCCCTACTGCTGCCAGGGAAGAAATTGCCTTAATGCCACATCCAACTCCAACCGAAACTGGGTTGACGCCGTGCGCTGTTCCCGTACTTGAAGGTTTTTAGGTACTTATGTACATAGAAGCAGAGACCAGGGTTCACGGTTGAGGGTTTAGGGGTGCTCATAAAGGGGGTTAGAAGTGCTCCAATTAAGGTTATGACTCATGACCATAGTTACCGCACTTGTAACCGCTACTGAAAAGCAGCCATGAACCTCCAAGCAATTGCCCCTGGGGTATCTGGCATGTCGGCTGGACAGGGGCTGGAGGTAAGGAGGCAGCTTTTGGTGTAAGGGCCCTGGGATTAGCTGTATCGCGGCTTGGGGAGGCGAGGCTTACATGCCCCGAGGCCTTGAGTTTCGGGTTTAGGGTTTGAAGGCAAAAAAAAACCTCTTTAGCCTACTCGCGGCACATCCACAGATGTCGTTCGAAAGAAAGTTTCGTGCTTGGTGCCAGCCTCAGTACGGCGTGATGGTCCGCAGTTCGTCGGCAGTGTAGCGTGTCGCTGGCTCCTTAAGCTTGCCCAGCAGGCGAGCAGAGGGGGCCTCGGCACCCCGGCGGTCGTAGATGTCGAGGATGCTGTTGAAGAATTGCATGTACGTCTGCGCCTCGACGCGCTCGCATCCCATGCGGCAATAGGCCTCGAGCACGTCCTCCCGCATCTTTCGGCTGGCAGCCAGCTTGGCCTCGTGCTTCTTCGGGTCCCCACCACGCTTGGCCATGCGCTTCGCACGAATGTCCTCATCGACATCCAGCACGACGGCAACGTCAAACGGTGGAAGGTCACTCGGCCAGCGGTACACCGGATCGCCCTGGTCCGGCAGCGCAGGAAGCGCCCCGGCCGCGACAGCGTTGACCAGGGCCATGCCACACGTCGAAGCATACCAGCGGTCGACGACGACCGGTCCAGTAGCGGCGGCGGCGGCGATCTGATCGGCGGCGAGGTAGTTGGCGCCACAGTAGAAGGCACGCATCAGGAGCTCCTCGAGCTGCTGGAAGTGTTTTCGGACACGGTCGAGGCTCGGGTCCGGCGTGCAAATGCGGGCGCCGGCCAGTTTTTCAGCGAGGTTGGTGGTGACTGTGGTCTTGCCGACGCCATCGAGCCCCTCCACGATGAAAACCGCGTGGCGTGCCTCCGCTGGCGCGTGGGCGAGGCTCTCGCCGCAGGTGCTGGCCGCCACGCTGGCCACGAAGGTCTCACACTCGTCCGACCACCAAGCTGGGCGCATCCTTTGAACCGCGCGCAGCACCGCCAGCGTCGCAGTGTGGGAGGCGTAGATCGGGTACTTGCCGCCCACCTGCTGCGATTGGGCGAAATTAAGCAAGTCCGTGGATGACAGCGACTGCGTAGCAGAGAAGCACCGGCGCAGCAGGGTACCTCGCGCCATTCATCCGAGTCGTCTGTATACGGGGTCCCAACTAACACGTCATCATCTCCCTAAACCCTAAACCCTAAAACCTAAAACCTAAACCCTAGACCCTAGACCCCAAACCCGAAACCCTAAGCCGATCTGGCTGGCTTGAGCAGTCAACCGCATCATGCACCGAAACCCCGTTCAAGCAGCAAGCTCCCCGGTGGATATATGCCCCTTTTGGGTCCATACTTGGAGGTTCATGGTACTTATTAACCAAGTATCACTGTACTTATAACCCACTCATAAGCCCCTTAATTGCCCTGATATGGTTATAAGTACAGTGATATGTACAGATATAATTGGTTAATAAGTACCATGAACCTCCAAGTAGGTTCTACCCACATAGGGTCCATGAGGTCAGGGTTTTTGGGCAGCATGGTCCTTTCGGGAACCATCCTGGACTTCGACTTGGGATTGCAACTGCCGGCTGGTTCTTAGGGTTTAGGGTTTAGGGTTTAGGGAATGAGGGAGTGAGGGCCTTGCATTAAACCCTTTAAGGGATTAATAGGGATTATATAGGGTACCATCAAACCCTTTAAGGGATTATATAGGGTACCATGAAACCCTTTAGGGGAACATATTGGGTACCTCATTCCCTCACTCCCTCCTAAAACCAATGGGAACTGCAGGATCCTGGGCGCCCGGCAGTCACAGATTAGTATATTGACAGGGATCGCGGTTTGATTGTCAGGCGGGTGAGCAACACTGGGCCGAAATGCCAGCACGGCGAGCTAAGGCCAGGAGAAGCTTCGGCGTCTGATGAGTCGACACCGTGCGTGGGCAGACGCCTTCACATGCACACATGCACACATGCACACAATTCCTAAAACATCCTGAGACGTACCACAGACGTGAATCCTAACATCCTGCTTGACACGCCCTTTGAAGCAGCTCTGCTTCCTTGTCATGCACAGGCAGCCCTCTTGGGGAAGCCTGTCTGCCTTAACTGCTCCTCAATGCGAGGATCAGGCGTATGGTGGCCATGTGGGGTTCCCATAGCCTTCCTACCTAAGTGGACCCGGCGTGTGAGGTTCCGATCTGAATCAACCCTAAACCAAAAACTCCCTAGACCCTAAACCCTAAACCCGGGGCTTATAGGGTTTTAGGGCGTAGGGTGTTTTCCGTGTTTGGGGCTTAGAGTTTGGGGCGTTAGGCTTAGGTTCCCAAATCCTACACCCTGATTAGCAAGCTCTAAACACCAGGGTCCCGCTCAGTGCACGTCCCATTCGGGTCGACGGCCGAATTCATCTGCGTGGACCCTTTGGGTCGCAGCACCGGAAGCTCTTCGAACAGGGTTTCTAAGGTTTAGGGTGTTTTAGTTTAGGCTTAGGGTATTCTCACTAAACGACAAACCCTAACGGGGTTTAGGGTTTCATAGAGTCCCCAAGAGTTGGGAAGCGTGATGTACGATTTTAAAAGATTTGGGACGAAAAGAGATGTAGGGTATTCAATAAGGCTTCAGGATCTTAAGAGGCTGGAGCTCCCCCGCCCCGCCACTCCTGCCGGACAAAACTCGACAGCTTGGGAGGTTCCCCCTTATACTAGCAGTCCTTGATAGGATATTTATGAGGGGGTACTATACTCCCGATTAAGGACTGCTAGTACGAGGTGGAACATCCCAATTCGCCAAGTGGGGTTGACGCGTATGGCTTTGCATGGGTCCAGGGATGAGAGTTTGAGTAGTTGTGTTCAGGCCCTAAACCGTAAACCCTAAACCCGAAACCCAAAACCTTAAACGGGCTTGGGGGGCTTCGGGTGTCAATATAGCCGTATACGAGAGCCCCCGGACGGGAGAGTGAGACAAAGTGCTGACTAGGTTGGCCGATCAATGTTTAGGGTTTAGGGTTTAGGGTTTGGGGTTTGGGGTTTGCGGTTTGGGGTTTAGGGCTAGGGTTTGGGGTTTACGTTTTAAGGTTTCGGGTTAAGAATCGCATACCCAAACATCAACAAAACTCAGTATGAACAACGGCTCCCACGCATACACCTATTAAGCCCTGTTGTCCATGACAAAAAAACACCAGTATCCCTTAACTCGGTAGCCCAGCAACCATATCATGATAACGGTACCCTTTTTTTGCGGTTGGTTGCTCTATCAGGGTACCCATAACCCCAAAAAGGGGGCTTTAGGATTTAGGGTTTAAGGGAACTCTTACCCAAAAAAGAGGGGTAAGAGGGAACCACTGGGCTACCAAGCTAATCCCTCAGGCTCAGAATAAATATATAAGAAGGCCGAGGCCAAAAAACCCTAGAGTAAGAGTAGAGCCTTAGGGTTACCCTACACCCTAAACCCTAAACCCTAAACCCTAAACCCTACAAGTGTACATAAGGGCGTTGAGCCGACTCTGCCAGCTGATCATTAGCAGGCTTGCCCCTCCGCTGACGCTGCCATCCGCAGACGCCTCCTCAATGGAGCTCATAAGGACGCAGGGAGCGGCTCAAAGCTGTTTAGGGTTCAGGGTTCAGGGTTCAGGGTTCAGGGTTTAGGGTTTAGGGTTTAGGGTTTAGGGTTTAGGGACCCTAAGCCCTATAAACCCTAAACCATCTCGGGCTACGTAGGGGCTATCAAAAGCCCCAAGTCCGAAATGCCGCACGTGGCACCTCCAGCCCTGCACCCCCCTCAAGAATCAAGAGGGTACTCCTTCTCCCAACCGCTGAAGCACAAGCTGCTTAGGGTTTAGGGTTAAGGGTTAAGGGTTTAGGGTTTAGGGTTTAGGGTTTAGGGTTTAGGGTTTAGGGTTTAGGGCTTAGGGTTTAGGGTTTAGGGTTTAGCGTTTAGGGTTTAGGGTTAACGAGCAAAAACCCTGATCTTTAGGGTTTATGTGTTAGGCCTTGGGGCTTAGAACTTTTTAACCTCACCCGTTTGAACCCTTCGCAGAATGAACGCTCGGAAGGGGAGCCTACTGTCCCGACAGATCGGAAGGTTCAGGGTTTAGGGTTTAGGGTTTAGGGTTTAGGGTTTAGGGTTTAGGGTTTAGGGTTTAGGGGGTCAGTGCCTAGAAACCTTAGGGAAGCTTAGGGAGCCTTCATCTACTATTTGCTTAAGAACCCCCACACGAAATGAAAGAGAATACTCCCTATATTGCCCAAGGAAGCAAAAAATGGGGGGGGGGGGGGGGGGGGGGGGGGGGGGGGGGGCTTCTTAAGCAAATAGCAGTCATGGGATAAGAAAAAATATGGGGTTTCAACTCGGCCTTAAGGTCTTCTTTAAGGTTTGGCATGAGCAGGTTGGCAGGGTTTGGGGTTTAGGGTTTAGGGTTTAGGGTTTAGGGTTTGGGGTTTGGGGTTTGGGGTTTGGGGTTTGGGGTTTGGGGTTTAGGGTTTAGGGTTTAGGGTTTAGGGTGCAGGAGAGCTTGCGACTTTGAGGCTTTGAGCTACCTCTGAGCCTCTGAGTCGCCCACAAGGCGGAAGCATGGTGCCCAGCCGTACTTTCTCCTGGCTTGAGCTTGGGTTTTGAGGTTATAATAAACATTAGGGCCCCTAGAAGGCTTGAGGGTTCAAGCTAGGGTTTAGGGTTTAGGGTTTAGAGGTTAGGGGTTAGGGGTTCGGGGTTAAGAGTTTAGGGTTTACCCCCCCCCCCCCCCCCCCCCCATCTCAGCAATGGCTACCCCACATAGGTAGCAACGCTGCTTGTTTTCCATTTTCACCGAAGAACCTGCCAAAACACAAGCGAATATAGGGGTCGGAAGAATTTCCAATAGTGGGCCAACTGGGGAAAAAGCATGGGAACCCGGACCAAGAGCCATGTTCGAAATGAGCTCGATCAGTGCGGGCATGATGTCACCCGGAGAGATCATGCGGTCAGTGGGGCTGACCTTGTCTGACGACTGCGCACGAACCAGGATTTCATCCGCGGCTTTCCAACTGTACCCTGATATCACCAACAGAACGCATCCGATGAAGTGCCGCCACCTGTGCGGCAGCCTCCGATCCGACTTCGAGGCGTCAGGGCTGTAGGCAGCTTTCGCCTATGGTCCCTTCGTGATTATACTAGAATAATTAACCCCAAAACCCTATTCTAATGAAACCGCGTGAGCGTCTCGTGCTGGGAAAGTTGATCCCTTGAGGCCCTAAACCCTACAAAGGGTTTCTGCAAGCACTCTCTGCAACGGTTTGGGGCTTAGGGTTTGGGGCTTCGGGCTTAGGGTTTAGGGTTTAGGGTTTGAGGCAAGCGGTCCACCAGGTCACCAGGCTTCAAAGGGGCTGTGGAGCTATAAAGCCTGCGCCCTCTTGGTAGGTAGTCCAGATGGTTTCTCATAGCAAGGCTACCCGTTCTGTTGTTGGCGACCTTATCCTGGACGTAGTCGCTGAGTTCATAAGCCCCCCCAAAAAAGTGTACACTTTCAATTCTATAGGGGATTATAGCATCTCAACAAGTGTAAAGTGTGCTGACTCAGCTACTAAGTGGAACCTGGAATCCCACAAAAAAAGGGCACCACTGGGCAATCATGTTTAGGGGGGGCTTGCTATCATCGACACCTCGCTCCTACGGTCCGGTGTTAGCATAGGTGACTTGAGGGTTCAGGGTTCAGGGCTGAGGGAGCAAGTGAAGCTTCAGACCCCTCAAGGCCCCCCAAAAAATCAAACTCCCCAAGCCCGAATCCTCGGCTTTGGGGTTACGGTCTATTGTTTAGGGTTGAGGGTTTAGGGGCCCAAACCCGACATCCTATCCTGCTCCGAGAAAATCCCAAACCCTAAACACCAAACCCCAAACCCTAAACACTTAACCTCAAACCCAAACCCCGAACCCGAAACCCCAAACCCTAAACCCTGAACCCTAAACCCTAAACCCCAAACCCTAAACCCTAAACACTAAACCCTAAACCCTAAACACTACAGCTTTTTGGAAGCTGGCCAGGGCCACGCAAGACCCCTCGAGGTCCACCACTCCCCACAGCCTTGGACACTTCGTGAGGGTTTAGGGTTTAGGGTTTAGGGTTTTGGGTTTAGGGTTTGGGGTTTGAAATTTAAGTGTT